GATCACCACATATGATTCCTAGTTGTGTAGGTGGTGTGTGTTCTACTAGATACCTAGAACACTCGAAAATTTCCCATGTAGTTCAGTGATCATGCAGAATGATCATCATAATAACTTTTTCAAAAGTGTGATATATTTATATTATTTCCTCTGTTCCACTTTGTCTCTTTACAATGACCCAGCTTTTTAAGGAAACAGTAACCTAAGTTTCGGACTAAATGTTTTCATTTGTACTTCTTAAATGTCTGGTACCTTCATCTACATGAGTTTACACAAAGTAAGTAACTAGAAAAATTGTAGAGTAAAACTCTAGGAAAACACATTGTTATACTCTGTAACAATAGAGAATATAAACTACTGAGACATTAACCTCAATTTTAATTGCATTTAACACTAAAAGCATGCCATATTAGAGGGTTGGAGATGTATTTTTTCACTATTGAAACAGAAGCAATTTTCTAAACATATTACTTGTCCCATGAAGTGGGGACACATTTACATTTTTCTGTGGTTGTCTTCTCACCTCTGCTTTTCTGATGCCTGCACTGCCACCGAGCGCCACTCCTGAGACTGGCTGACTTGTGAGCAATGGAAATTTGCTTGGCTCACAGTTCTAGGGTCCGGCAGTTCCCAGACTGAGGGCCCCACAGTGGGCAGGGGCTTTGGTACTGAGTCGTTCCACGGTGGACGGCGGAGTTCACAGGAGCACGAGAGCAAGGAGGGACAGAGCTCACCTGCGAAACTAATTTCTTTCGTGACATTGAATCCATTGGCAATGACTAAAGGTCCTGCCTTTCAACGCTGTCGCCCTGCAAACTAGTTTCCCAACGTAAGGACGTTGGCGCTCACACACACGGCAGCAGTCAGCTAACAGCAGCATATGCTGACACAGCCTCTCCCGCTCAGGTGCCGGCAGGGGTGAGGTCCTGGTCCTGGAGCTCGACTGTGCTTGCCTCGGGGAGCAGGGACGTCGCTCTGCACCCTCTACCACGTGCCTTGTGTGATTCTAGAGTTCTCCAAGCCTCGCTTCATGAAGGCCTTGGCTCTGCCCCTCCCACTCCCCTCTTTAATCCATTAAACGTGGGTTTACAGTCTCCCAGAACGCCCTTGTCTAAGCGGCAGTGTCATTTGTATGTCTGGCTGTACTTTCTTCTGGCTTTGCTTTTACGAGGTTCTAATTATGCTTGCTATCTATCTCTTAGAAAGTCCTGAAATCGTCTGGTTTGTTAATGGCACTGGTAGAATCATTTATTTCAGAAATACGTTTCCTACATTTTCCTGTGATTTCGCGTGTGATTGGGGTAGGGGTAGACTTAGACGCTTAGGGACCATCGGAGCCCGTCGCTCCCACATAAATATGTTTTATAATGAGAAAGAATAGTCTTATCAAAGAGTGGTTATAATAAAGAATTGTAATTACTATTTTGTCCTTCAAAACTGGCTGAGCAAAATCTAACCCAGCTCCTGCCAGCTTTCGGGGACGACCTCTTTGTGTAGAGCTGATGAATATTTGATACTTGTGATGAAGGCCAAAAAGAATTTTTTAATTAATAACTAATTGATAGCTGAATTGCCATTGTCATCCTGCACGAGTGCAGAACAATGAGAAACAAACTTGGGTGGACGCAAGTAGGAAAGAGTACTTAGAGATGACAGATTTTAGTCTTACACTTTCTTGGTTTCCCAGCACTATGAATTATAGCCACTGCGAGGCACGCTGAAGAGGTCTGCTCCCAGCTGTCCTTTCAATCAAGTGGCACCAGGCAGACCCACTGCATCTTCCGAGCTGGAGCAGGGTCTCCTAACAGCATCAATGGCAGCTCAGAAGTGCCCAGAGACCTTTCTAAGATACGCCTCAGTGTTAAGGAAATCCTAGTGCTGGATCCTTTCTAGGTCTTGCAGGCTGATTTTTTTCAGGCATTATTGAGAGCTCCTATAATGTTTGTTAGGCAGAACGTCAAGAAAAAATATTTGCCTTTTACGTATATTCCTGTCAACCTCAACCAGAATTAAATGGAGTAGAATTTTGAGGCCAGAGGCCTTGGTTTTGTTTCTCATTAGGCCTTCATCTTAAGATGAAGGGCAAATCTTGGCAAAAATATGTGACTTTGTTAAAAACAATGCAACACACACACACCACATACACACACACTGGAAGAGCCAGTGGAGCATTTCACTTAAGCTTCTATGAAATCATCCCTCATTTTTCTGCCTTAAGCAGTGAGAAATGATGCTCAGAATGATGTCTTTAGGAATACGTGAGATAAATGACTCATCGGAAAGGAAATGGGAAGCGATGCTCCATAGAGCCCCTTCCCCAGCAGGGCCTGGGTAGAGCTGTAACTACGAGAGGCCTGGCTGGGTAGGAATTCGTCACCGAAACACTGCTACCAGCACCTGCTGACCCAGCGGAAAGGGAGACACACACACCAACCATGCTCTCCTTGGCTCTTCAGGTTCCTCTGGTGTCTCATAATGCAGCAGGACCCAGCCGTAAGCCAGAGGCTTGGGTTCTTGTGTCGGCATCCAGAGGCTCCGTCTCAGGACGAAGGCACAGTGAAGAAGGTGGATCGCGCAGCTGATGGATGAGCCGAGGACACTGACCTCAGCTCAGGCAGGTGAGGATCTCTTCTCATGGTCACTTCAGTGCCCTTTTACCCCACATCGTGAGCGATAGATACCGGTGCCTCCTATTTCTACTAGTAGCACTTATGGTCTGAAAAGAACTGATCCCAATTTCTGCTCTTTCTCTAAACTTCATCTGTGGGATACTTGGGTTCACAGCTCTGGTCTGGAATCAGCAAATCTATGCTTCCAAGCCATGTGGAAATACCTGTTTACTAGTTTCTGAGTGGTTAGTAAATCCAGTCTAGGTCACAGATAATAAGTAGCAGTGGAGCTGAAATTAAATGGAGATTTTTAACACCACCCACCACATTTTTCAGTTGTCCTAAAAGTCAACCTTTCTACTGCACCTTCTGAACTTGGTTCTTGGCCTGTTCTTTTACCCTAGGGTCAATCCCTTAAAACTGCAATGGAGCTGTCCACTCTACATTCTCCTGCCTTTCTGTCCCATACATCTGTGACATTTTCTTCACTTGTTCTCCACCATCCTAAGATTTTTTTTACCAATTGAATCTACACACATGCAGATCCCTAATCTGGGGATGAAACATTTTTTCCTCCAGAAAGAAGTCATGTAACTATAAATGAATTCTCTCTTCTACAGTAATGCTATTGAGACTACAACTCTGAATGCATCCTTTTTTCCATTTCTATTTGTTTGATCCTCTAGAGTTAACTTTCACTGATTTCCCTAAGAAATGACAATAATTTATGTTCCTCTTTTTCTCAATAGAAAAAGAATATCTCACTGAAAAGAATATCTCACCGAAAAAATAATGACCATTAGACATGACATTTCTGAACTACTTTCATTCCGTATAAAAGCCACTAATATTTTCATCCAGGCTTGTCTCCTTTCCTGTGAAGGCCATTCAGCGAATCCAGTAGACCTTTATCTGAGCACCTACTGTGAGCAGATCAATACATAGGGGTGGAATATGAAGATGAACTGTGTGCAGAATGGAGCTTGCCATCTCTAGTCATATTTCTGTGGAGGAGAAGAGGGAAGCTAAACTACAAGAACAAGAAAAGTATGTGGAGTGCTGCTTCTAGCCTGTAGGCAGGTAGTCGACTCAGAAGGTGGCCCAGCTACTGTCTGCTGAGGTCCTCAAGGCATGACGCAGAGGTAGGTACATTTTCCTGATCACCCCGGACATCACTGCAAGTTGCTTCTGGGTCTTTCCTTCACTCCTCTCACAATAATTACCTCCACTTCATTTGGACCTTGTGAAACTTCTATAAAATCTATAAAATGTCCACATTTTTGACATGACTTTGTGGCTTATTTTGTAACAATAGGAAAATTCCTGTGGGTAGTCCTCGGAGCTCCTTTGGTTACCTTACCACACGTGGATGGCATCCCGGTTCCAGGAATTTCTAAGAAAGGGAGCAGCCACATGGTCAGCCAGGAAGCTCATGTGGCCAGGGAGCAGCCGGGCTTATTCTTTTATAATAAGCTTCTCTTGAGAATGAGGTCAGGGCTCCCTGAAAACTATCTCAACCCCTTTCCGGGGTGGTACCCTCCGGAGACCTGATGTTCATTACCTCACCTCTTGCAGGTCCTGGTGCCACTTGGCATTGCCACCCTGGGGACAGCGTGTTCACCACATGAGCCCTTGTGCTGCACACTTAATACCCAAGCAAATCACAGCCCTTTGAAGGCTGGAGTAATTTGGCCTTATTTGCACTTCCTATTTCCATCCTGGCCTTTTCCTTCATGCAGTCGGATTCCAGCCATCCCACAGCACTAGGTTTTTCAGACATTCTTCCTCTCCTCGAATGGTACTTTCTGTACAGGATATCTTCCTCTTAATTTCTCCCCTGTTCTAGTCCTTTTGTTTCCTGAGGTCAACTAAAATACCCCTGAGGTTTTGTCTGACCCCTCACCTATAGGCGGTTGCTCATTTGCTTTCCTGTCTCTTACTGTGGGGTGCTCATATCTCTATTATAATATATATGACTCTGAGTAATGTTTGTTTATATGTTTTTCACCTTAACTTCTTGCCTGCAAAGCCCATAACTTATGCATCCACACGCATTGTCTAGTATATTGAAACTGTTCAGTAAACACACTGTCTGACATGGAAATATGCACACCCACTGGTACACACAGACATGGAGCACACAGGTTTGAAGTAAAAACTGGATTCTGTCTATTGGCTGAATAGTATTCAGATTTGTGAATCCACTGGAACTCAATATTCTTAGCTATGAATGGACATTATAATGCCCTACCAACTTTATATCACCGTTGTGGAAAAATCTATGTCAAATTTCTTTTAGAAAGTTAGTGTAATATAAATGAACATTATTATAATGTCTGTAGAGAGTTTAGTGAACCCACAAATAAAGCTTCATTAATTTTATGATGTATTAATCCCTTTTATTCATTCAGTAACTGCTTGAGCCACACTGTTGCAAGTACAGCAAGAGAACAACAACAAAAAGACAATCACCACCACCATTGTCACTACTCCATGGACAACAACAACAATGAGCAGAAATACAACAAGGATGATAGGAGATGCTCAAACACACGTGCTCATGAACAGGGCCTCTTTGAACAAGACCCTGGCATTTCGTTTAACATAAGTAGAAGGGTTGTGGAAATAGAAGGATAATATGACTCTATGTTTCATTCACTGTCTTCTCGGACATGAAGTAGGATACCAATTTCTTATGCATTGGATGAGGTCATTGAAAAGTGCAAGTTTTCAGGTTAATCAATTGGAAAGTGAACTTTTCTACCAGCCAAATGTACTAGTTAGGGTATGCACACGAATCCACGGCATGTACAACACAGCCCACACAGACAGGCATGAGCCCAGAGACGCAATGTTCCTTACTGGCTGTGTGTGATTAGAGAATGTTTGGAGCAAAGCCCTGGAGCCAGGCTTACCCTAAGTCTTGCCTGATCCTATCTGGGCTGTCCTGAACCTTCTGAGCATGTTCCTTCACTTAGGAAATGAAAGTGGAATTTGCGATAAGTTTGTTTATGACTTAGAGGTGTGATGTGAAGCACTTTATTCCGTATCTGCCTCTTACTAGAGGTTACTTAATGAGCTGTGGTTTAAAACTAACCTTAAGGGCCAGGGATTTTGCTCAGTGGTTCTGCCACCTGCCTTGCAAGTGCAAGGTCCCGAGTTCCATCCCTGGTACCAAAAAAACCAAAGCAACCACAACAAAAAATTAACCTTAAAACTTTGTCCATCAAATTCAGGTTCTAGCAAGTGGTCCTTTCCATTCCTTTGACTTTTACTACCAGATCCACAACCAATTCACAGGCTATGGGACTTAAATCACATGTGAGTTTCTCCATTAGTTCATTGTGGTGCTTTCAATTTAAGTTCCATTACCATTAATTTGTCAAAGACTAAGCTCCCATCTTACCAATCGGAGACATGTAAAATTCAGGGTTTTCTCGGTGTCAGCCTTGCACACGGCTCCCTGTGTGTGGCATGTAGTGTGTGTTTGTGATTGCGGTGCTTCCTGTGTCCCCGGGACCTCAGGGCCCTGTGTATAAGGAGAGGTCGTGCTGTAGGTGCATCTGAAACCTACTCCATGGGCCTCCTCCTCCTCCCTGGAGTTCCCACACACACCTCTGCTCTGGACCTGAAGAACAGGGGCAATTTGCATTTTGCAAACTGTCGGACACTGGACACGGCTCCCCCAGGCACATCTGGAGAGAACTGCATTGCTTAGGCACTCTGTCTTTCCGCACACAGAACAGCTGTCCCTGGGATGAGGTGCTGCCTTTCGTTCTCTGACGGGACTGAAAACCATTCTTTTCTCTCTGCAGACTCTGAGACCCCAGCAGCTCTGGGCCTGTCACTTCTTGCATTGTCAGCTGACAGCACTAAGCTGGTGCCAGCTACTAGTTTGTCAGCGGCTATTAAACCAACAGTTAATAGGTAATAAGAACATATAAGTCTTTAAAAGCCAAGATCTTTTGCTCATAGGAAATTCTCTGAGCACGTATTATGTACTAGGCATTGTGGTGAATTATTGATCTATTAATGGTCAAAGCAGACTTGTGGAGTGAGCACTTGGTTTACTTGGCTTGGCAGATTTGGGCTTCCTCATGCCATCTGGCTGTTTAGTGAGAGGAAGGACACCAATCTGAGCCAGAGCTGAATTTAGGCAGAAATGCAAGATATTTAGCCACCACCGAAATGGGAAAAGGGCAAATAAAGAGAACTCCGCTGGAAACAGACAAGGAGGCTTGACCAGAACATCTGTCTTTTCTCCAAGAAAGTGAGCCAAGGAATAAAACTCTGGACCAAAAGCCAGGAGATACATCGTGGCCTCCTTACTGCTAGCCAGCTGCTGACAACACAAGGACAGAACAGTGCTCAGAAACGTAGACTGCAGCCAGGCATGGTGGCACACTCCTATCATCCCAGCATTCAGAAGGCTGAGGCAGCGGGATTGTCACAACTTTGAGGTCAGTTTAGGGTTCAGTCTGGGTCGTATAGCAAAACCCTGTTTCAAAAGGCTTACCAAAAAAAAAGCATAGACTCCAACACCAGCTTCTTTTGGCTCGAAGGCCGGCTCTGCCTCTGATCACCGGTGAGATCGTCAGAAGGTGCTGACTTTTTCTGCTTCTCAGTTTCCTCAAATGCCAAGCAAGGATTAACAGCAGTAACTGTCCGTAAGGTTACACAAACACACACACATCCCAGTGCGTCTCCTAGGACAATATATAACATATTAAGTGTACTTAGGTTTTCTTTTCTTTACCAGAGCGTGTTCGCCATGAATCCAGGGATTTCTGTTCTGTTCCCTGGTATATCTGAAGAACTTAGAATAATCCTGACACACAGGGAAGGAATCGAAGCCCCTGCTCAGTGAACAGGGACATCACTCTCAAGGCTCAGCGCCGCTGTAGTCCCCTCTATCATCTGGAAATCCGAGCTCCAGGCAGAGTTCACCACGTCAGTGCAGTGGCCATATCGCTGCTGGCTTCCTGAAGCCCTTTAGAAAAATCTCAGGGGCCGGGTGAGAAAGTCTGCAACATTTGCTTTGGTGATTTTCAGTAGAAAGGACGGCCCTGGAGAGAAAGTGTTAACACGAATGTCCTGAAGGTACAGATGGTGCATGTGAAGAAGCAGCCAATTTTTCAATTTGCAGACAGGATTAGCTAGGGTCCTACTGAGTTCACTGCATGGGCCACTGCTAGTTTTAATTTGAGCCAATAGGATGGAAGGATGGACTTTAATGAAGACCTGTGTTTTCTAATCATGGGCAACATTACAGGGACTGGCAGAGAGGCGGGGAAGGTGAGAGATAATTGGGGGATTCGGAAGATGGGGCTGCTTCTTGGGAACAGAAGGTACTTTGCTGCCTTCCCACTTAAAGTTGATGTAGTTCTCACTTGCATGAGGAAGGTGTGAGGGTTTGTAATTATCCAGCCGCTCGGCAGAGTGAGGACTTCAGGTACACACTCCAGCGTCAGGCGGTCTGAGTTAGATCAGGATAATGTCCTGCATATCTCAAGCTCTCAAATTTCTCCATACATTTTCAACATTATTTTGGTTATGCATGCCCACCCATTTAAAGCAATACACAGACAACCTTAGCCTGAGAAAAATCACTCCATTCTGTACTGCAACCCCTATGCCTCGCATGTCCCCTAGGGGGTATGTATGATGATTAAGCCCTCCTGAGTGATTATGATATTGTCCTCTGCCCTCGTCATGGGTGGATTCATTCCAGATTTAGGGTGAGCGAGTCTGAGATGAACCCTGGCTGTGCTGTAGGAGTAAATAGATTCTAGCCACAGAGCAGAATTTCCTGCATTCTGACTTTACCCTCAGCAGCAGTCTTGTCTCCTCTCCCCTCAGATGTTTTACATAGGTTTGTGGGTTCCCACTGTGACTGTGTGTGTGGCACAGGCCCCTGTGTTGTTCCATTGTGAATTTCAGAAGAAAATACCTGCTGCCGCCTGCAGGGATTTTCCTAAGAGAGTCAAAAACACAGCCAGATTTTGCTGTACTCTACCAGAATTCAGATATAAGAACATGGTTGCCTTCAGTTTGGTGCACACCCAAATCCAAAGATCAGTGTGGGGACAGGGCAGCAGCAGAAACTGATTGAAGCATCTCCTGGCAAAAACATACGTGGTTTAAGAAGCAGGAGTCCATAACTTTGCTAAAAACATACTAAGCCTTTATGTGTAAGTATTTCATCTGAGAAGGAGTCAACAGGGTCATTCTGTGAATGAATAAGCAAACATTTTCCTATTGCTTTCTTCCCACCCAGGGTAGAGATAAGATGACACATTCCTTTCCCATAATGAGACCCTGGCCTGGTTCGGGACGTAGATGTGTCAAAGGAGTAATTGCAACATACGTCACAGCAGCGGTGTGGGGACACAGTCTCAGGGAGGTCAGGGAAGGAGCTGAGACATCTGAAGACAGTGAGAAGGGTTTTGTAGGGAGGAAACACTGAACTCGGGGGCTCTCAGACAAGCCAGTGGTCTCCCCACAGCCTCTATTCTCGGTCTGGTGCTCAGCTCAGGGCCTGCAAACTTCACTCCAGACCACTTCCTGGAAGGTTCCCACCTTGGCCTCAGTCAGGGGCTTTCACCTTTCTCAGATCTGAGCTTTCCTTGAGGACACTTCAATTCATTTGCTCTGCAGACAGGAGTAAAAGGAAAATATAAAACAATCCTCTGAAATGCATCCAGGAAACATATTGTTGGGCAAACTAATTAGCTTTTGAAAAGCAGTACCCTAATCAAGTTTTCTGTACACCATGCATGGTCTAATTATAGCAACAATAATACCCTGGATTTGCAAAGAGCCTTTCAGTATGGATCTCTGCAATTATTTAATTATTTATCAAACATCCTCAGGACAGAGAAGAGGCAGATGGAGAAGATAAGGTTTTCAGGGGCCAGAATAGCATATATTCTTTTCCCTGCGGGAGCAAGTGTCTTCATCATTTTCCATCTTCGGGGTTAAAGCTCTGATGCTCAAATCATTAATGCTTACAAATCCAAAAAAATATTTGTTCATGGTAATAAAAGGACTATGGTAGCCTTGATTATTTTTTGTTGTTGACTAAAAGATTCCAGGTAAACAGCTTGCTCGTGCTTATTTTCTGGAGGAATGAATATATCAATGAATGATCAAACCAATCAATGAATCATGTAGCTCCAGCCTTGGACAGGAGAAGCTGGTACCAAGGTAATGCCCTAAAGTCTAGGCCAGGCATGTCTAGGGTATATCTGTCTCGGAAACATGAACGCGCAAACTGGGTGAAGGGTAGTTTAGAAAAGGCTTCTTGAAAACTAAGGCACTCGAAGGAGAAAGCACAAGAAATGAATGGACACTGGTTTGTGTGGTTAAAACCAGAAAGAAAAAATAGGACCAATGAGTGTGAGAAAGAGAAAGAAAATGGTCAAGTACACGGGAAACACTCAATAGATGACATTGGGCCTTAGAAATATGTCTCCTCGGAGGACATCGGTGTGATTATTCTATGTTTAAGATGCGATGTCTCAGTGGCTTCCAGGACAATGCAAGGGTATCCAGATGAAACAATGCATCCCCAGTTGGCTCTGCATCAGTCGGATAGCAGTATTCCTGTAAGTTTTCATTTCAGTGAGGTTTGTGGCTTGAGGTGACTTCACCTGGGTGGTGTTTTAGGGATGCAGCCTTTTCTGCTCCTTCTCCATTGAAGTCCCCGTTTACAGGAAGACTTCTCCTTACTCAGTGTAAGGAATTTGTACCTGTCCATGCTTTATCATGATTCTTATTTTCCCATTCCCCTCTTCTCTCTTCTGCTCCTCTTCCCCTTCTTATTTACAAGAGCTTTGTTCCATTTCATCTTTCTCTTCTCATTTTTTCTTTCCCTTTCCTTCTTTCCCCCTCCCCTCCTTGTGCCTCTTCCAATTTGAACATTCTATTCCTATTTCACAATATCTGTTATATATTTTTGTCTTTACACTTTCAGTTTCTCACACCAGAGAAAAAAATGCAATATTTACACATGTGTCTGATTTATTTCACTTGGAGTATGGACTCTAGGTGCATCCATTTAGCTAAAAATGTCTCCAATTTATCCTTCTTTATGGCTGAGTAGTACTCCATTATATTTTTTAAAAACACATCTTATTTATCCATTCATCGGTTGATGGGCTTTGGGGCTGTTTCCTAGATTTATCTATTACAAATTGTGCTGCTATGAACATGGGTGGACATATATCACTGTGGTAGGATGCTTTTAATTCTTTTGGGAAGATTCCAAAAAGAGGTATAGCTGGGTCAAATGGAACCTCTAGTTTTAGTTTTGTGAGGAATCTCTGCACTGATTTCCACAGTGGTTGCACCAGTCTTCACTCCCACCAGCAGTGGAGCAGGGTTCCTCTTTCCCCCGCAGCCCCGCCAGCATTTGTTACTGGTTGATTTCTTGATAGCAGCCATTCTTTCTGGAGTGAGGTGGAATCTCCATGTTGTTTTAATTTCCATCTTTTGAATGACCAGTGACGTTGAACATTTTTTTATACATTGATTTCTTGTTTGTACTTCTTCATCAGAGACGTGTGTATTTTAATCCAAGGATAGCAATGAGATGGGAAAGCAGGCTATTTCCTGAATCTTTCATGATTTGTGTTGGTGGACATGGGGTTGGAGGTACTACTAATGCCCAAAGTGTTGGATATTCTTCAGTGAAGTAAAATTGCTCCTGATGAGGTCAAATGTAGACAGCTAGTCCCTTTGGAGAATGTAACAGCCTAGAAATTCTAGGCAACAGGGTAGAGGCTACAAAGTAGCACATAGACAGTCACGGGACAACTGTCTATAGGTGTATTAGCACCTATTCTAGATGGCCTTCCAACACAAATAATATTTTCATCTGGCCAATAATCCCACAACTACCTCCTATTTTTCATAGAGGATATATATGTTTTAGTTACATTCCTAAATTCTCAATCTATGAAGTGCTCTTTTCTATTTAAGCTAAAAATATTTCCTTTCATACTATCTATCCAAAATCAAGTGAAAAAAAGCAATGAAGACTAGGATGCAGATGAAAACTTACCAGGAAATTTCAATAGCAATCCTCTGTTACAGAAGGAAAATGCCAGCAGAGAAAACTCTTCACACATAGCTTGACTCAGAATGATTGATGGATCAGCTTGCAAGATATTTGGGAATCTGTAAAGTGTTCAGAAAATAAATTGCAAATGAGTACAATTTTATGGATTTAGAGCTTGCAAAGTAAGCTTTGATTTTGACTGTTCATAAATGCCAAGAAATAAAATTTTAAATTGCAAACAATTCATAATACCAAAGGATTTTCCTTCAATTAAGCTCATGCTACTATATTTTGCTCTACCAGATAGATCCATCCCTTATAAGTGGCTCTGTGACATTTGACTTAAGGCAAGTGATCCAAGGTAATTGTGGGCAGGAAGGCTGCCAGCGAGAGAAGAATGTGATCAATAGGATTCTTTTGTTGTTGGCAAACACTGTCAGGGGATGATCAGCGTCAGAGCTCGGAGCCAGGGAGAGCTAATAAGATGAGTGGCATGTTTCTCACAATATGCTCGAAGTATTTATGTGCTGTTCAAAGAGAGATCTGTAAACACGATGAGGACAAAGAGAATACAACGTTATTGATGATATCCTCCTGATTTATGTTTACAGCATCTGTGGATAATAACTGCATTTGTCAGAGAGACCCTGGTGAATACTAATTTGGGGATGAATTCCAGCCATGACCAGACTGGCTTTGGGTGATGCTCTTCCATTCTTATGTATTTTGCTGAAGCTGTAATCCTTGCAAGTGCTCTTAATCTCTAAAAATTTAGCATACTGTATTTGGGAGGTTTGAGGTATAGTGATTTTTCAGAAGTTTGCAGTTGCTCACATTTAATAGAATTATAGACTTTACCGTGCATGTGAGGTCAAGTCTGTGTTTTCTGAACATGATTCTGGGTTTATTTCTAAATAATTCTAAGTCCAAAAGGAAAAAATGGCTTAATACCACCTTTTGTTTGATGATTGATGACAACAGAGGAGTGTTTTATTTAAGTAAAACCTTATTTTCTTTAATATGAATAAATAATCTTGTTTTCTCTTATGCTTGCTATAGTACTACTTATTAGGCTGAGGGAGAGGATATCTCAGATTTCAGACCAGATCGGGCACGTTTAGGGTGGTATGCCATAGACTATCTCAGATTTCAGAAGTATCCACATTGTAGGGATAGTGTATGAAATTAGAAGGTCATTGGAAGAAGCCAAATGAACCAATATTCACCCTATGAAACCACCAGAAGATCTTCATTCTGAGAATCTTATTTAAAATTCAAGTAATCTAATATGCTACCTGTGGATCTGCAAATTTCTTTGGTTCACTCTTCACTCCATATTAGGAAGACATGGTTCTATAGAACCTGTGTAGTTTTCACTGAAACTTGTCCAACACAACTGCAGAGTCTCTTGTGAATCCCATGGGTATCTCCAGATGGTCCTGCTCTTCGTATGCCCTTGCCTGCTCCTTGGCAAATGGCTATACAGGCAATACACTGATCACCTTGGAGGTGGGAGAGAAAAGAAGTTCAGAATGTAGACCATTAGGAAGGCATCCTAGAGCTGTCAGCCAAAACAGAAGGCGGCATTCTGTGCACTATTCTACAGGGCCATCACACGAGGCTAAGGAAGCAGTTACTTTTACTAATATAGAGAAAGTATTTCTAAACACTATTATTTATGTATTTTACGGTTATTTTTCTCAGGAGGATCCCAGTTTTCTTTAAACCAACCCTGTATGAAAACATTCAGAAGTCTTCGAGTTTATTGAATGTACTCTATTAGACCTGTTGACTTACTGACCGCCTTTCTACATGCCTTAGTCACTCTCCAGGAACACCTTACTCCACCACAAATGCTTTTTGTCTTGCCAGCATTTTTATATTGTAAATTTTACGGATGTGGACAGAACATGAGGGACCAAGTATGGGCATTATCTATTGGGAATTCTGGTGTCTTAACTAAGTTCCCTCATCCTACACCACATGAAACAAAAGGCATTCTCATGGTACTTACAGAAACCCAGGACAATTGAGCTTTGTTCTCATTCATCTGTCTTTGAATTTCACATCACACTGGAGAGGAACAGGAACACAGTAACCCCGAGCCCAGGCCACTGCCTATCCGGGCTTGGGTTTTAGCTGAGCTTGTTTTGAAAGCTGCTCCTTGTTCCTTCTCCATAGGAAATAATTATGATGTTCAGGAAATAAAAGGAATTGTTGGTAATGCAAGACAGAAAGAGCTTGGACCAAACCCTAAAAGACACCATGTCCATCTCATCTCTTAAAGAAATGGCCTTGGATAATATCCGATATTATTGGTATGCGGTTCCTTGGCTGGAAAAAGAGGCAAATTACATGTTTTCCGAAGGAGGAAATTTTACCAGCTCTGTAACTTCCCTTGCCATATCTTTCCTCTTTCTTTCTAGTGTAACTGCACACCTGTTGTGGCAGAACTGTGAGCACCAAGTTTCTCACTGCAGCCCCCATCCTCAGCATATCCATGTGGACGATGGCAACAGCGAATTGCTATCAAAATAGAGCAAGTTCAGCTAAAAGCTGAAAGTTGGGTGGGTGGCTGAGCAAACCCTGAGGGCTTAACTGTCCACAATTGCTAATATCTCGGGAAACAACTCTGTTCCAGGTTCAATGACAGCTCTGTTGTCTTCTTCTCCCGACACTAAATTACATTGTAATTGAGTCAGATTCCCAGAGACTTGGGTAGTACATTGAGAAGAGAAAAATGACCGTAACACTGGCTTTTTGTGAACTTTATAGACTTTGTCTGACCCTAACTGAGAAAAAAGATGATACATTATTGTCTTCCTGGGGCTTGTGTTAAGTCAGGTGTGGAAATAGCAATAGAAACATGATATGTCTTGCCTCCAACAGCTTCGGAGCTGGCAAAGGGCCCCTGGAACTTAGCTCTGTATTCATCACCTCAACCTTCTGCTTCAAAACATATGTTACACTGCCAGAGCTGAGTGGACTTCAGCTTACTCATGACTTCCAATTGTAGAGATTGAACGAACCTTGGGGGTCTAGTCCAACGTCTCACCATGGGTAGGAGGAATCCTTTTTGCAGTGTTTATAGTAAAAAATATCTGAGTCTCTGAGAACATTGAGTGACAGAGCCTTTTACCTAAAAAAATCAGTCATATTCTAAGGAGATTTCAGAATATTGCTTTCCTCATAGCATTGGTTTGAAAAGCATGTGAATGAAGAATGGGAGTTTGGGCAGGAAAGAAAGAAAATATTCAGTTCTTAGAGGTGGGTGGGACGAATTGGGTAGACCTTTAAAAGAGGCTTATAGAGTACTGAATTTTGGAAGTTAGAAAAGATTCCAGGGTGCAGAAAAGAGGGCTATGGGTTATAACTTGAGAGGTGAAGAAAAAAAGGAAAGAAAATTTCACTTTCTAAAACTCTGCCGTGCAAACAAAGAGATCCTCACTCTACCCAGATATTAGGGTGATTAACCTCCACTGTGGGGAGAGGTCTTTGGGGACATCACTGGCATCACTGTTATGCTGCTGTGGGTTGTTGCCAGGGCTGAAACATTTTCTCACAGTACTTTGAATCCAGTGGGGACTGGATCTATCAGAGCAGAGAAGAGAATGGCTCTGATTTAACAGATTAATTGAACTTGGTGTTGTTTATGTTGGAATCTATGGATGGCCTCCAACTGGGAGCCAAAGATGAGTTTTAAACTTTCTAATTCCTCTTTTGGATCGATCATTGTATTTATACAATTCTCATTATTCCTCAGTCTCCTGTAGGAATGAATCATTCCAAGACAAGCTGCATAGGCTGCAGTGATTTCATGTTGGGTCAGGTCCACAGGTGCATTCATCATGCCTGAGGGCTGAGTTAGATATCTGCAGATACAAATGGCTTTTCAAACTATTTCATGAAGTTCTTTTTCTCTGAATTAAACCGACCCTTACAGCAGAATTGCCTATAGTGAGTGCATGGCCCCATGTGGATAAACCCTGTTTCCTAAAGCCTTGTTTTCTCTCTCCAGTATCTTCAAGCTCTCTTCCTTTTAGATCCTTCTTAGTAATCTTACCTACTGTTTTGTCTCCAGTCTTACACCAGGTGCATGTGTGTTTACATATGCACGTCACAGACGCTAAAAATCACTCAGTGAAACTGTATTTTTTACCAGCTACTCTTACTGTAAATAAAGACAGATTTTGGGAAAAAAAGGAAAGAAAACTGCACACTACCATTTTTACCATTCTTTAACTCAGCCTTTTTGCCTCATTGATAATGGACGGAAAGAGTGTAAGGGGTGGGGCACGGGGCCTAAAAGAAGGATATGACCCCAGGTGGGAAAAGTCATGAGACAGTGTCACAGACAGATGACAGAAGTGTATCTCGGTATTAGTATGATCATCACTGATTCAGTAAGCTAAAAATTTGGCTGCTGGAAAAGGACAGACAATTCCAAGTACCCTTCTGGAGCTGATTATCTGGGAAAAGGAACTAGCCGAGCTTCCAGTTTTATTTGTCTATGTATCTACTCTTCCGTGACATCTCCGGAGACCTGGCTTGTACTGCATGGTCACAAAACTATGGCAACTCCCAAAGATCTTGGCTGCGGCGGGAGGAGAACAGAGCTGGATAGGTCTCAGAGCGTTTGCCCCTTGCCCCATCTCACAGGTGCGCAATGATGCCCAGATTCATTTTGTTCTGACCTTGGTGGAGCTTTTTGGAGCTTGCAGAGATTTCTTGAATTTCTTGGTGTTATGCCAAGTCAGGAACTTAACGATAAACCCAGATCCCTAAGCCTCTAGGTGGTCAGATCAGGGTTTATCCTCATCTAAAGTTCTACCTCACAAAGTCTGAGTTAGTTCTGTCAAATCCAAAGCAGTGTATGGTACTTATTCTGGAAAATACAAGAGCATACATTTCAGTTACCAGGAAGAACACAGAAAGCACAGATTAAGAAAAACCTCGGCATAAGCACTATAGAAAATAATGTAACTTTTTACAGTTCTTTATAGACTTAATAATCATAACAAGGCTTGAATAATAAGGTAATATTAAAAGAGTAATATGTGATTTCAAGTCATTTATTTGAGTGTATGTTTTTATTATATATATATGAATTTAACAATTATTAAATGCTTTTTTACTATGCAACAGAGAAACATATTAACAAGTGAATTGTGTGCATGTGTTCACTAAGTTAGTTATATATTTAATATTAACCGGGTAATGCCTGTTCTATCAATCCCACGCTGGGAAGTGCTCAACTGCGGGGATTTAGAATCAACTGTAGTTAATTTAAGAAGAGATAGATCTATTATAGACTATAGGGCTTATGCAATTGTTAACAAGACAAAAAGAACATTCTAGGACTGATTGCTGAACTTACACATTATAAATTGTCACCAAGGGGGTTGATTATTCTTCCCCAGTGAGACGTTTGCCAGCTCAGTTGGGGTCCACGGACGCAGCTTCTACCACAGGACCTTGTCACTTCCTATGATCTCAACTGGAAAAAGAGATGCTCCACAGCTTGTATCTCCCCCACAGTCGCTACTTTGCCTCACACTTGTCCTTCCAAACAGTAGGCACATTCTGTCTCAGATATCATGCTGAGAGGAATTTTGGGAAAATCTTTAGTTTTAGCCTTTACAGTATAGAAATAGGTGTAGGAATACATGTTTTGTGAGCCAACCTGCACTAGCTGCTATGGACATAAACCATCTCTAGAACTGATGACCTCTAGAAATATAATGTAACCTGTATACGTAACTCTAAGTTGCCTTATGGCCACATCAGGAAAATAAACAGAAGTAGGTGAAATTAATTATGGTAATGTTTTATTGAATTCCGTATATTCTGATCATTGTCATTTTTACAAATAATTCATATAAAATTTTAAATGACCTGTTTTATATTTTTTCATGCTTAGTCTTCAGATTAGATGTGCACTGTACATGTGTGATCAGTTAAAGGTAGCCAGACTTCAGGTACCCTAGAAGCTCCCATGCCTAGTGCCCACCACAGTGGACAGTACAAATAGATGGCTGCAGTGTTTATATTTTACACAGACACTCAGTCGAGAGCAGTTACACTAAGTTACTCCAAGCTTGATGCTTTTGCTGTCTTTGAAAATATCAGTTAAGGCAATTACTTTTATACATTAAATCACTAGGATCTGTGTCCTTGTCCTGTGCAAAGCTCAGAGTTCCATGTTAAGGGCTACGTTGAGAAGCAAAGTCTGTTGTATGCACTGCCATGCCCATAACAAGCATTCACTACCTATTTTTACTGCATAATTGATTGAATGCAGTGGTGGGTAAACAAATGAATGGAAATAAATTAACAGTGGTGATTGGCTATTAGAACTGTTCTAAATTAAGCAGTTAAATTAATAACCTCACAGAATGAGTGTCAATTACTCTAACTTCATGAAATTCTTTTTGCTTCCTGATGCTTGCTCCAGCCAGACATAATGTAAATTATTCACACAACGTATGTTATTTTATTTCTTCAAGTATAGTGCCTACAACCAAACACAGAAAAAAAAAAGAATATTTCTAGGTAGGAATCAGGCTTGTGAATATGAGTTAATAATGATAGCTGAAGAATAACAAAGACTACTGATTTATTTGTGACTCATCAGATATATCAGCCCTTAATGATAGTGACTAAAAAGCAGCACATTGGGTAATTTTCTTAATTGTACCCTGGCATGCTATATCCATTATTAAAGAGTAATATAGGAAGAATATAAGAAGCATGAACTGCTGCAGGTGCTAAAGCTGAACCTGACATTACTTCTCATGCCCACATGCTTGAACATACTGCTCCCCTCTGTTCCCTATGGGAACAGAGAAAAATTTCTAGAAAATGTCCATATTCTTTAGGAGACCTTCAGGGTCATGAATTTCTGACTATTTGATAGATTTTTTTTGCATTTCTGTGGATGCAAAAATATACACAATTAAACTTACATATTAAAATACTTTTGAAGCCTAGAGAAAACACAAAACAAATCCCACAATAAATGGAGAAATCAAGTGGAAGAGTATATGACTTGACTTATGCCTTTGCATTTTATAGTTCTGTGGCTCTAATCACAGCCAAATTGACAGAATGGCCCAGACATTTAGGCAAGCAGACTTTTCATCATTTCCACAGGGGACACTCAAAGTATCCTTGAGTGATAATGTAGCCTTAGATATTGCAAGATGCACTTTGAGGACGGGATGCAGGATATTTATGCTTCCTATAATTCAATGAAAAAATTTATTGGATGAGAAAATTAACTAACTTGGAAAACAATCACGTACCAGACACTGTTTTAGTTGGGGGGGGGTATAAAATAATATTAATAAGATATGCTCCCTGACCTCAAAGAGCAAACAATCTTTAAAAAAGCAGATAAATATTTAGATATTATAGTATAGATTAAATATTAAAACTGGTAAGTATAATTCTATGGAATCTAAGATAAAAAGAGCATAATATTTGGAAGTATTATACGTAATGCTAAATGGCAGTCAGATGAATTGAATATTAAAAAAATGTGAGAATTTGCCAATGAAACTGAGGAAAAATATTTCAAAGACAGTGAGTAAAATTAGGAGTATTATACAGGCCTTTATGTTAAAAGAGCTCTCAGACATTCGCGATTAACGAAGGTAAGCGACATAGATTGGAGGCAGACAGGCTGGGAGAGAGCATGCAGGGTTAAGAAGACAACCAAAAAGCAATACCGAGTTTAGCACATTTTCTGATATGCCAGTCCAAATAACTTCTATTCTACCATAGTCCATCTTGAAGAAACTGCAGAAAATGTTAGTAGGCACTCAGTAAAATAAAATACACGATTATATAGCAAAATAAATTTGAGAAACTGGTTAAATGAAGTTAGGTTGCATCAATGCAAAATTTGTCAAGAGCTTAATATGTTTATCCATACATCTATCTGTACCTATATATCTATACACACATAGATGTACACTTAAATAATTTAACAAGTATTTCTAATATATGTATAACCACAAAATAATCTGCAAGCATATCAATTAACAATTCAACACTTCAAAAGGTCCTTGAAGCACCATTTTAAAAAAATGCTGCCCTATAGGACATAAAGAATTATCTCATATGAGAAATATCTATTCAAATCTTTAGCTCATTTTTAATGGGGTTCTTTCTCTTTTGTTTTCTAGTGAGCTGTTTTATTCTCTGTATGTTCTGAATATTAATTCCTTGTGAAATGCTTAGTTTGGAAATAGTTTATCCTATTTTGTAGATTATCTCTGTTCTGTCGTTTCCTTTGTTGTACAAAAGATTTTAAATTTTATGTAGGGCATCACTACCCCATGCAAAGATTAATCGAAAACATATTTGATCTCAAAATATGTACAAATGTATCAATAAAAATAATGACAAAAGATTCCTATCAACTCCCTATTATCTCTCTCCCCATCTCTTTCCTTTTTCATCTCTTCCTCCTTTTCTCTTTCTGTCATATTTTATTATGTAAGTTCTGTCGACAATCTTCTATTTGAGTGTATAAAGAGATTAGTTGCAGCCCTTTGTGGTTTTTCAAAATCTACATTCTCTAAAAAGCACTGTGGATGAGTTAAGCATTGTAAGAGTAGAAAAAGTATTTCTTATTCAAGTAAGGTGTGAAAAGATGGGATCCAGGGTTCTGTTACCACATTTCTTCTCTCGGCAAGATTGATGGCCTAGCACAGAGGAGACAGCTGATGGAAGAAGACTCTTGATGAGAGGAAGTGAATCCCATAAAAACGAAAGGCACATGGTTAAGTTTTCCTCAGAAGGGGCAACTCTTCTTTACACAATGGCAAAGGAAGCAAACTCACAATCAATCAGTCTGTGATCCTTGGTCAGTTGCCTTTCAGACCAGTGAGTTCTCGCCTGGCCTCAGCTAAAGCATACACAAGACGACCCTGGCTATTTAAGCTGCTTTGAAGAATTCTGAGAAAGAAGTTAGACATAAAAGCTTCCTTTAAAATACAGGGCTACTGACTGCGTGGTTCTTGCAATAAAAGTTGACTAGAGATGAAATGTAGGTGGAAAGACAGTGCAATTTGGTTGATTTGTAACTTGTTGAGAGACTGTGCCCAAAACACGATCATTCATTCTTTCATTTGTTCATCATTCACAGACTGGCAAGGGAAATGAACAGGTATGTCTCACATAAAGACACACTCTAATGACCAAAATTCATATAGAAAAATGTTTAATCTTCCTGTTGGCCCCATCTCCCACATTCTAGACAAAGTCTTTTCAGGTCTTTTCCCACCCCACTGGCAGGACTATGTTTTAGCCCATATTCCCCCATAGCACATCACAGTGACAGTTCGGTGATGATATGACATGTAACTTTTGTGACAAAGAATGTAAGAATGCTTGAGAACCATGCATTTTGGGGGTCCCCTGGATGACGCAGAAGGAGAGCATGAAGGTGTATCCCAACCGGAAATCGGCAGCATTGCAGACAAACCCACCAAGGGAAAAACTTTTTAAAAACACTTAAGTTGACCTCAAGACAGAAAAAATACATACATTCAGTTTTTCATAAGTACTACTATTTCCTCTTAAGCTTTGTAATGCAAGTCTGCGTTTTGCAGGTCTTACCTTTAAACATCTATCTCTTTTCTGGACTTACCAGTAAGTGGTTTTACAGCCTCAGAAAGCACTGAACAAAGATTCAAGGATTCAGGACACTCCTTCTTGCTATTAGTCTGAAAAATGCAAATTAAAACAGCAAGATATCTTTTTGGTCTATCAAATTGGCAAATATTTAAAATAAAGATATTATGCAGTGTAGATGGTGGGGTGGGGGGGGCATAGCTACACCGGTACTGCTCTTAGGAGTGTAAATTAGCTCAATCATTTTGAAGAGTGATTTGACAAGTTGTATTGGAACCTTAAGAAAAGAGCCATGAGACATTCTACTTCTAAGAATTTATCCTAATAGGATAATTCTAGGTGTGCTCAATGATTTATCTATATGCATATTCATTGGAACATTATTTAATAGGAGAAAAATTGGAAATGAAGCAAAATGCTCAATAATAGCAAAATGTCTGAATAAATTGTGTTATAGCCAGAGTGGAAAATAGTGAACCTTTTGAAATGTGGCTATAAAATAATAACAAGGGGAGAAATAAAATGAGATGGGGAGATAATAAGAGACGCAGTAAACAAATCAACCAAATTCAATATGAGGAATTTGAATGCTGATTTAACAAACCAAAACAACCATGTAGAGTCTATCAAGGATATTTGTACACTGAATACTGATTATATTAAAGAATTATTCAAAGTAAGTTGATGTGAGTGTGGCATTTTGTCTTTTTAAATCCTCATCTTTTTAGTAATGCATACTTGAGCATTTGCTAGTGAAATGATCCAGTGCTTCAAATCTGCTTTGAAAGAAACCAATGTGGAGAACAAAGAATTGGGTGGAGATACAGATGAAAATCAAAACTGACTACACCTGTAATCACTGAAGTTGGATAGTAAGTACATAGGGGTTTTTAATCTATATTTGAAGTCCAGACAATGAGAAATAAAACATTTCCATGGTTAAATATTTATTTATGTGAAATATTCTTGTGGCATAGTGTTGTTTAAAAAATACATCAAACAATATATTAAAACCCGAATGTTTTGATGTAGGGCGTGCACCTAGATACATGGTGGGTCATGTGGCAGGCAGGCCTTTTCTTCTAGGAATGACTGTTCTCCATATGGCTGACAAAAGAGAATACTTGAGAAGATTTGTCAAGATAATTCCTGACATTAAATGGAGATTCACTGGAGAAATAAAGGAGAGTTTTGTTCAAAAGGTTTTGGGCCACAGAAATTTTCAATAAAAATCCTTATTTTAAATGAAAATGTACAATTTCTAAAATATCACTTTGACTGACTAAATATCTCCACCAGCATGACATCTCTGAGAGAGTGGGCTAGTAGAGCAACAAGAAATAAAAATTCTTCAATCCCTGGAATGTTAAAATCTGGGTTACTAAGTGGACAGTGGCAATGAGCATATCCAGACCTGGCTTCTTGTGAGAAACAGCCCACAACACTGATACCACACAGGCCAGAGTGAGCAAGGACAAAGCTGGAATATTTTAATTTAATATGGAATGATGCACTCACATGCTACTTACCAAGTTAATAAAAGCTCATATTTAATCCTTGTCACTATAAAACTTAAATTTTTTATTCAGAGGAATATATATATATATATATATATACACACACACACATTCATGTACATACCCATTATACACATACACACACACACACACACACATATATATATATACACATTCACATACATACATAGAATGGATTATACCCAATTTCCTTCCATGCTAATTTAGTTCTTCATAATTATTTATTTGAACAAGTCTCTTTCACAACCAGCCGGAAGTATTAACTACTAACTTTTCTGAATTTCACTTTTCTAATCTGTAAAACATACTCATAGACGTCCCTAAAACATTTGGTTAGAGTAACAATAAATTACAGTTCATGTAAAATTCCTTACCAAATGCCCAAAGTTCTTCTTCCTCCCTTTCCCTCTTCCCTCATTTTTCTCTTTCCTTTTACCCTTCCCTCTGTTACTATTTTTTCATATGAGAAAATAGTAGATATATCTTTATCATATAACTTGATACATAATTTTTAAAACTATCTGAAAACACAGTAAAAGTTATTCAGCAGATAGAATGGAGAGCGCTTACTATGTAAACAGAAATTAATTATATTTTCCTTCATTAAATATGACAAAATAATTTCCAAAATATCTAAGGAGTTAAAGGCAGGAGAGTTAAATAATTTTAAAATGTTAAAATACTGTAAAATATTGGAATCTCTGATAGTAAGAAAAGAAATTCAAAACCTTTTTTGGGCAGTGAAATGTGTGTGTTTCGTGATTGCAGAAAAATCCACAGGCTCAGCTGTTTTAAAACACTGGTTTTCAGAAGTTCTTCCTCCAAAATTTGAAAGTTTGCAAAGTTGTTTGCATCCAGAAGTCTCTTCTGAAATTACAGTTTATCCAGAATTCTCCACAGAGTTTCAGTATCATTCAAAGCAGTTAATTCAAGGATTTGATTCAGAAGATCTGCTTCATTCATATGGCCAAAAATATCCAAGCAGTCTATGAATAAATCTCTCTATATAAGTGTTCTGAAAATGGGCTTTTCCTTCACTCAGAAAAAAGCAAAAATTTTCTGAATTTCAATGAAGTACAGTATCATTTTTTTCTTAAAGCCAGTAAAATTCTGTGCCATAGAAATTAATTTAATATTATATTTTGACTTTTTATGAAAATCTTTGTACAGGTGGTAATTTAAGGTCTTGCCTTTGATAAAATTCATCCATCTTGATGGTTTTAAGCACTTACTCTACGGGAACAATGGAAGAGATTTTGCTGACTTTGCACATGGATATACGAAGCAACCACTCAAATTGAAGTATTGTTCACCAGCACCGTGGCACCTGCAACAGTTTTAGAAGGATGTCCCTTATGCTGAACAGTGACAGAACTGACTGCTTTTTTCATTCTGATCAAAGTGAAACCTATCTGCAAAACTTCTACAGCATGAGGTTTTGATAAACCATAATACTCTCATGTTTGGCTTGCCAAAGTGAGAAGCAACCGCATAGACTGTTTCGAGCCAAAAATTTAGTGTTGTGGCAATTTGAATTTCAGTATATTTCAAGCCCTTAAAATCCAGTTTTGAACTCATGGAAAAGATTCATACTGTCTGCCTTTTGTAGGTGGAAAAAGGTAAAGCAATTGTTCAAGCTTAGAAGCTCTATGTTTCAAGTCCTGAAAACTTGCCTTGTAAAAAGCACTGGTATTCTTACAACTCAGCATACCAAAGTTCCAATTAAAAAATAAAAAAGGAAAAATTTTTAACAAGACATACTTGTTACTATCAAAGATAATGACCATAGTCTTAATGGAAGGGTATGATTTCATTGATTTCTACCAATGGAAAGATTTACCAGATATCAAATAAGTGATGGTGATTCTATGTTCTCTAATCACACAAACTATAATTTCGTGTGTTAATTTTTTATAAAACATTCACCAACAGCATCCTTTGAATGTCAGGAGTAATTCTTATACTTGAGGATTGGTATTTATTCAACTACCTTAGCATTGCCCCTGTTTGTGAATATGTGTAACTGCTGTCAAGGTTAGTTCTAAGGTCTGAGATCCTGGATGGTTTTAATTGAGCATCATTCTGGTATCTGATATAAAGCAGCTCAGTACAAGCTCTGAAACATAGCATCAATGAGGTCTGATATGTTGAATTAAATTGCAATATAAAATAAGATAAAACCACAAAGAAAGGGATTCTAATATAGTCATAAATGCAGCTTAGTTCATTTGCTCAATTATCTTGAAGACTCTAAAATTAATAGAAAATGAAAATACAGAAAAACAAAGCTATCAAATTCAGGGAAATTAGTATACATAGAAGACACATGAACCCCAGGCTATTGTTAAATATCTTCATAAGCACAGAGACAGACCCTACCACTCCTCTGCTAATGGGACATAGTGGAGAAGAGGGAGAACAGAGGATGAGCCTGGCATCTTGAAGATAGATTTCAGAAATGTTCAGAAATTGTTCATGTCTAGAAAAGGGACCCTACATTAACCAGGAACTATTAGGAGAAGGGTTAAAGCCAAACAATGTTTAAACACTCCAGAAAGTGGAACAAGAAATGGCAGAGCTCAGAACACATCATTAAAATCATATAAAAATACCCCGGGTGAATGGATCCCTTAAAATTTAGGAGCTCTATCTTTTAATGACTGCAAATGGTTTGGGGATCAACAATGGAAAGTACATCATAGGATTAATAGTAATTAAGAATGTTAAAATTTTATAGCTAAATGGATGCACATTGAGGCGATACTCTTAAGTGAAATAAATAGGACACGTGTAAAAACCGAATAGTTTCTCTAGTGTGAGAAAATGAAAGTTAAATAAGGACTAAAAGGTCTAACAAATAACGGGAAATAAGAAGAAAAGGGGCAAAGGGGAAGGGGAAAGAAAGAAGGTAATGGAATTAATAGGAGAAAATGAAAAATGGAAACAAAGTCTTTGTAAATAGGGAGGGATGGAGGGGTTGAAGGGAGGGCAGGGGAAGGGTGAAAAATAAGAACCAAGAGAGATTATGTAAAGGTGCAAATTTCCAATGATGAATGTCATTAAATTGTATACCTAAAATGTACCAATAAAATAAAATTTTAAAAAAAGAAAGTTAAAATTTAAGAGTCAGAGAAAGCGTAGTTATGTACAAACACATTTGCTAAAGCAAATTTTATTCCTACATGCTTTTCTATGTGACTCTTCCATTCCTTAAACTACTTTTAATTTCTTGAAATTAGTTGCCCATTGAAAAACTCTAACTGGTTGGAATTTTTTATGAAAGCTAACCAGTTATATGCTATATATTATAGGAAGAGATGTATGAAATAGCAATAAAAGCTTCAGTGCCCAAACAGTCAAACAAACCAAACAACAAACAAAAAACACTGACTAATCAAATGGAGATAGAAAGTAGAGGAAAACTTGGTATTCAGTATTCCAGTAAGGGTCTTAGAATAACAGATGAAATAATTGCTTGGGTGAAGGCAGATACTTAGCAAAAGTAGAGAACTTTGGGAAGTGAATAAACAAAAGAAAAAAACTTCAAAGGAAAT